AATAAACTGGAAATAAAGAAAAAGTCAAAATGTACAAATCTAATCACGTTTCCATGGTGACTGTAACTTTATGTCTTCATCAGGTTGCACGTTGGACGGACGATCCTACAACAGCTCAGTGTCCTGGACCACGTCCACCAAACCCTGCGTCACCCGAAGATGTCAGGTGTGTGTGTGTGTGTGTGTGTGTGTGTTGTTTCAGCTCTGATGTCATGTTGTAATATCCGACCTCTGGAGGAGTGAGGGAGGTGAAAAGAAAGGAACGAGGGAACCAAAGGGCAGGGGGAAGGAGGGAGAGCAGACGGGTAAAGAAGGAGGGAGTGTGACATGAAAAAGAAGGGATGAAAAACAACGAGAGATAAATAATGGACAGAAGAGAGGGAACAGACGAAAGGAAGGAAAGAGGGGAGGAAGGAAAGAAAGATGGAATGAAGACTAAACTCTTTCAAGGGCGGAGATGGATGGATGGATAGATAGATAGAGAGAGAGATGGAGATAGACAGACAGACAGATACTTTATTGACAGTTGAATAGTTGAGGATCAATGAAAGGACGATATGGAGGAAGTGAAGGAGCAGAAGAGAAACATATTTAAATACAAACACACTAAAGAATGGTTTCTGTCCCGGCTGTGACAGGAAGGTGTCGTCACTGAGGCGGAGGTGCAGTGTGTCGTCCACTGTAAAAACCCAAAGATCCACCCGAAGAAGTGCTGTCCCACCTGCCCCAGTGAGTAGAACCCAGCGCACCCGGCTGCACTGATCCTGCAGGAGGAAAGAAAGAGGGAAAGAGGGAGGATGTGATTGTTGCAAACTGAGTCTGAACATTTTCAGAGTTCACGTCTCTCGTGTGAAGAAGCAGCAGGAGATCGTCCTCTCGCTCACTGTGAAGGCTCCAGACAGTTTCCTGCTGTTTACTCACTCTGACATTTTACCAGGAGGCTGCAGGAGAAGATCCAGAGAATGATCCAGACATTTGTCCTCACACACAAACCCTCTGGATCATTTTAGCTTCACTGAGACGAGACTAAACCAAACGTATATGTCCCGCTCTGCACGAGGGAAAAATAAATGAGGGAACCTCGGTTCAGTTGTTTTGCTGCAGGAGTTTCTAGGTTCTGGATTTTCACTCTGGACATTATTCATGTTGTGAAACTTCTGCTCTCGCAGCTTGTATCTTCGAGGGTCGTCTGTACAAAGAGAAGGAGGAGTTCAGTCCAGAGAACAAACCCTGCATCAAGTGCACCTGCACCGTAAGTACATCATGACTGTTGATCTTCTTCTTCTTCTATGGTTTAACGTGTCTCTACTTCCTGTGATTGGTCCAAAAGTCGGGTTAGACCCAGAACTCCTCCTCTGAGGAACCGTTCACACCTGAAGTCCAGCTTCAGTCTGAAGCTCTGAAACGAACCAGGTGTGAACGAGTCCTCAGTTCTCCTCTCCGTTCCTATTCCTCCTTCTGTTTCCTTCCCTCTCTCCCTCTCTCCCTCTCTCCCCCTTTACCCAAACAAACTCTACAGGTTCGTCCATAAACACGTCGCAGCATTAACGTGCTGGCCCCTCGCTGCTGTGACCTGTTAACACATCACACAGAGGTTTCATAGAACCGTGTTGATGTAGAATTCAACTCAAGCTAAATACATGTTCCCCATTCGAAAAGGGAATTTTATCAGTTTATAAT